GGGTCCTGCCTCCGGCTCGGCCGTCTTTCTCCTGAGGACAGAATCGACCAAGGAAGCGTGGGAGCAGGCGGATAGGGGGGATTTCCGTGGCGTTTCATTTTCGAAGAACAGTGAAGACTAGATCACACACTTTGCGTGAATCTGACCGAGGGCGACTACAACGGCTTGCGACGTACGACTTCTATGGCAACAGCTGCGTCGGCTTCGTGAAAACACGTCAAAAACCGGTTTTGTTGGGTTCCACTTCGCTTTTGCCATAGCAACCCGTGCGTCGCATGACGCTGCGGTTGCACTAAGTAGGAGTCAACGCAAGTGTGCTATTCGCCCTTGAGAAAGAGCTACAAAAGACCGGTCGCAACGACCCAGCAAAAGAGCTACGGTTGCTGTCATTTATTTTTGAAGATTTCTCTGATGGCTTTGGGGGTTGACTCATATCGGATTGACTTGCACAGCTTGGCTGTCAGTTGTATTCAGTTACAGACATAATACTCAATTGCTTAAAAAAATCAGATTAGCACTTCATTCTACAGGGTGAAACAAGGATACGCCAGGCTCTTTAAATCGACCGGAAAATTCGGTTTCTTAACCTATCGCGCTACGACTTTGTGCAGCGTTGCCCACAGATGGTGAATTTTTTTTTTTTTTGTAAAAATTGCGAAGAGCGATTTTACCTGAGGAAAAAGTAAAGAAGGAATAAGGCTTAGTTCCTATGGAAATGCAGCGACGCCACCGGTCTGCAAAGAACACGGCGCAGTTTCGCACGGAAGACAAAAGATGGCGCAAGCGGTCGCGACGCCAACTGCCGCCGACGAACGAGCAGACGACGCCGAGAGCCGGCCCTTTTGCAGACAAGAAACTGCAGTTCCTTGCTGTTACCGCGCCTGTCTTTTTTGTTTCTGCGATTTTCGCTGCCCGCGGAACGCGCGCCGCTTTTGAGTCGAAAAGATCGTCTGCTAAAAAGGTCTGCTCTCGGCGCCGCATGCTCGGTCGTTGACGGCGTTTGTTACGCCATCTCTTGTCTCCCGTGCGAAACGGCGCCGTATTGTTTGCAGACCGGTGGCGTCGCTGCGTTTCAATAGAAGCTAAGCCTTTTTCTTTTTTTACGTTTTCCTCAGGTAAGTTCGCTCTTCGCAAATTTTACAAAAAAAAATGCACCATCTGCGGGCAACGCTGCACAAAGTCGTAGCGCGATAGGTTAAGAAACCGAATTTTCCGGTCGATTTAAAGAGCCTGGTGTCTCCTTGTTTCACCCTGTATAATAAGGAACATTATATTAAGATATACAGCGTTAATAAAACAATTGCAAAGAATTGCATTAAAACCCTTTTTTTACGCAAGCCTTAGTGCACTCGCAGAAAAAAAGGGTGTATTCTTACACCCTTTGTCTCAGATAATACACCCCAAAACTTCAATTCGACGTACAGCGCACTGACGTCGATCTTCTGCTACTAACTTTCACGAGAGGCTTGATGGCCGTGTGGTACAACTTATTAAAATAGCCAATGTACGGGTTACTTACTCCAAAAAGATAAATCGGGGTGTTCTGGGCCATTTGCAAAACCCCCGTGTTTTCTTTCTGTGGCCTTTGATACGTACTTTAGTTGTTTAGTACGTTACATTGCACCGTTATCAAACCCCTCGTAAAATTATTTTCTTTCTCTGTCAGACCAGACCATATGTTTTATCATTTTCAATTAATTAAAAAGGAATTTGGTTTCGTAAAATTTCCGGTTCAAATATTCGGAGATTTTAATCATCCAGGTGTTGAGCAGTCGTTAAAGACTATGAGAACTAGCAGCATGACAACGTCTTGCAAAGTTTCTACGTTATTTCATTTTGTTAAGATCAGTGGTCTTAATAGTTAATTACGATAAAAAATAGTGTAGGAAATGTTCTAGATCTCGTTCTTCCGAATGTGCCCTTTTCGTGAGGAAAACCTTGCTTCAAATCCTTTGGTAAAAATCGAGTATTTTCAATCCCCTAACAATGTATAAAATTGTGCATCAAAAGTAGACGGCACATCATTTTTGAGCTCATCACTTTGTTGGCCAGTTTGACTATGAAAGCAAAAACACTACGTTAAAGAGCCGCAAAATATATTTGTTTTAAACGAACTTAGGAAATATGTGCGTTTACAAACGTGTTAATATTTTTCTGAAGTTCACCGTTTATTTTGAACGCTTTTGAGCTTGGCGACAAATGGCTTTGTAAGCGAACTTCTGAGGCCTGCATATTGAGGAATTGTTGGATCACAGCTGTCAACCTCTATTAGGTATATATTTCACATCTACACTTAACATAAATGGCAAAAAAATAGTCGTAGTGTTTTTCGGATCCGACTAGCCCATGAATATAAGCTCAAAATATGGTCTATGGCTTAGTGATTAAAAACAATTACTGTTCGGGAACAGGTATTCGTTGTGCAGAAAATAAATGACAAATGAGAGAGCATCTTGCCGTAGACACAACCATAATTAACGATCAAAACTAAAAATACAAACTCTAAAATAGAGAAGAAGAAAAAACAGTTTTGTCATTGCCAATGCACATAAATGAAAAAATATATTTTTATTTGATCATTAATAAATAAGAAACTACTTTCAAGCACCAAGAAAGATAGGACAGCAGACATTTTATAACTCCAGCTCTTTCAAAGGCTCAAGGTTGCGCTTGAGTTATTGGACCACCGTCCACTGGAAGGTGTTCAAATTTAAACGTTAGCAAAACTTTGTATCCAATCAAACGAAAACATGTTGAGTTCAAAAACATTTTAAAGGTGATATGGTTTAAAAGTGATATTTCTTCCGCATGCTTAGGTTTTTGACTACGAACATCTCGTTCTTTTAAGACTAGATTTGATTCAGTTTAGCAGATTATATATTAAACCTCTTAGTGTCGGTGGTTTTAGTCCTGCCTAATGGACTAATTCCCACAAAAAATATCCGATTGTAGATTTCGGGGTGCGTAAAGCCTGACTGCCAAAAGCTTTTCGAAGCGTACTTTGTAATCAGCACTAGGGATTACAAATTTCTTTACAAGTATAACGGCAACTCGCTTCTTGCAATTTGCACGCAAATAAAGCCACCTCATTGAAGCTATTTGGGGTGAAGCTTTTCATTCATTTTGTTTCTTACACATATTAATATATTTATTGATTTCAATATCCCCAAAGTCAAGAGGACAGTACAGTCAGGGATCTAAATCGTGAAAAAGCTTGTACGTAAAAAAGAGGGCCTAAAACAGTATAGAATAGGCTGTGCTCTCAAATAGTTTTTCTTCGAATTTGGGGGTACCCTTCTGGGTCTACTTATATTTACAAAAACGGTGTTCTCGCTATGAAGTTTTGGTGTCGGAAGAAACATCGCGCCTTAAAGGGAAACTCCGCTTCATTTTCAATATACAAAAAACCATGCAGCCCTCTTCAGTATCATATAGGACGACCACATGACAAATATTACGATCTAATTCTGTCTATATATTTAATAAACTGGGCAGCAAACTTTCAAACGAGCCAAGTCGCCGAAATCTGCTAACCCTAGCGTGCGACGGGAGGCGCAATCGTCAGCGCAGTCATTGCGACGGAGTTGGAGCGGCCAACGTTGAGCCACTACGTCAGAGGCATGTCTACGTCATCCTCACGTTTTGTTTGTTTTTACTTCTCAGAGCGAAACTGAACGATGACGACATGAGTTTCTCCTCCCGATGTTGGCTAACGGCGTCCACGTGATCATCGTAACGCGGATGCGCTAGTCTGCTCTGCCCTGCGCGTTTATCTGTCTTGTTCCCCATGTTTGGTTTCTCCGCTCCCCCCTCTCCTCTTTCGTCTTTTCCCTTCCCCCTCTCCCCGGGCCATCACCGTCCACGCCATGCGATGCGAAACGCCCGCGTCGCGTGTCCTATGCCTCGCCCCCACGAACGTCACTAGACCACGTGGTTCGACGTGACGTGGCCATGACTCTGACGACACGAGACCAATGTTGCCTGACGCAACCTAAGTTTCGGTTTCGGTATCTACTGATGTTTAAATTAAGATTACACAAAAAATGCTCCACATTTCGCAAATCCGAAGACTTAGAGAGCTGTTTAGCAGTGCTTTTTGACATGGAATCCCATGTAAGCCTAAATTTTTCAAAATTGAGCGGAGTTGCCCTTCAACGGTTCTTGTGATGCAGAAAATAGGACACGGCCATGAGATTCCTCAGATCTAAAGGACCACCGACGTCATCCCAACATTTGCAAAACGTTCCTGTAGTGATAAGAAATTGAACCGAGAAAAGATGTGTCTGAAGTCCCGAATCAAATAAAAGCCCTGCGGACAGTTTATTGGGGCTGAGTTCTAGGAAAACATTAAATAAAAATGTAGACTAATAATTCTCTGCAGTTGAAGCTTGCCTTTTTTTTTCTGTCAATAAAAACTCAAATTTGGCGTTTTCAGGCTTTCCGCGAACTTCATCTAACTTATACGGGAGCTAATTTTCGGAGTTTATAGCTAGTTACAGAAAACACAAACCCCTAGTTAAAAACTTAGCTATAGTTTCAGAAATATCTTCCCATTTTCACACTTCGTTCTATCTCATTTTTTTTAGAATTGTTATGTAATATTTTTGCAGATTGCCACTTTTCAAATACGGGGTGCTGTGGCAGCACTCTTTAACAATCAGATTCGCAGTGACCTCTTCTCTCCAAAATACTGGAACTCATGGAGCATAGTATATTGAGCAATCATTTGCCTTGTTCGCGCGGTTTTTTGTTTGTTTGTTTGTTTGTTTTCTTTTTTAAAGAAAGGTGGCGCGTCGTACAGCTTCTACCTGTGTAACGGTGTTTTCAAAATCGTTCCTGTGAGCTGCCGCACTCCTCTCTGTTTTATCGTGACATGGCGGTCTATTTGTTCCGGCGGAATTCGCACAGGTTTTCATGCTATATAAGAGGCTATGCTTTCACGTATGACCCGAATCATGTAGAGAATGATTACCTTCAAGGGCATTTCTGACATTGTGCAGAGTCCTGGAGTGGTCCTGTCTCACAGCTGGTGGTCACGAGTTCAGACACTACAGCGACGGTTCGTGGACTGCAGCCAGTCACAAAGTACGCGCTTCGCATTGTTGCGGAAAATGCACTCGGCCCCGGAACGCCCAGCAACGAAAGCCTGGTTACTACTAAGGAGGAAGGTAAGGAAAAACCAACTTCTTGAAAACCATTCTGGTGTTGGTTTTGATACTTAAGTTAGACTTAAGTATCAATTCAACTTAAGTTAAACATGTGTTTAACTTAAGTTAAACACATGTTTCTAACTCTCAGGCTTTACCCCTTCCACCATGATATTTCATATCTCTATATTAAAAATAGCTAGAGCGATAACGGTGAAGGAAGGTTATGCCAGAAACAACCTATAAATGTTCTGCTCTTTTCAGTGATTTCGTCACACCTTTCACAACTTTCATGTCGAGGAGGCATTAAAAGGAGACAGACATTTTTTTGTACGCTCTGGTTTTTTATTTGATGCCTTGAGCCTTTTCAGCCTTCATTCCACACCATCAAACTTCTTGTAACTCATCGAAAAAAACTGTACTTTCTCTGTTGCCCGTAAAAAACTGTACGACGTTGCGCTTTCTGTGTTGCCCGTAGAACCTCCAAGCCTCTCCGGCAAAATGTTAAAATTCCATAACTTCACGATAACTGGCTATCATGACCTTTGTTTGGACTATTTGTTCACATGTTATGTGTTCAACTAAGTCGGAGGCAAATCAGCGACTATAGGAAATTGACAGGATCTTTCCTTTATTTTTGTCGAATTTACAAAGTGGACCCGCTAATCCCAACTTACAAAAAAGACCTTCATCCGACCCGAGTTCTCCACGTGAAAAAACATTTTCTTTAACTTGTTTGTTTGATTGGATCACGATACGAAGTTGTGAAGGGATCTAATGTATTTCTGCATATTTCGAGCGTCTTAATCTGCGGCAACTACTATGAGCATGGCGGTTCGATGTTTTTACTTTAACCTTGTAACTGGCGAAACAAAACAAAAAATATAAGCGTAAATGTTTTTTTTTTTTTTTTCGGGGGTTTATGAATTCTTTGTTGCATTGAAAAATGAATACCAAGAACGTTACATGCAAATTCAAACCAGATACAAAAGGTCATCAATATTGTTGATTGGACAGTTGACGTAAGTGCATGGGATCCAAAAATGCAGGTTGCATATATCTGCAAAATATTACTTTGCCTAACGAAATGAGAGCCTACCTAGAACCGCCAGAACGCGGTCAACAAAGATAGCCATATATAATTGCATTGAAGCGTGTCATTTTAGTCATTCAAGCTTCAGCTTGCACCAACTTTTATTATATTTAGCAGCCGTAGCATAGAGCTGGAGTATCAATCACACTAAATTTAGCGGCGGAGATTCGTATTTTAATCACGTCTTGGTTTGCAAGCATTTTCTTCAATCTAAAATAATGTTTTTCTGCCTTGTTAAAGGGTAAAAGGGGAATATTAAACGAGTAGAATTTTATTCTGATAGAGGGCACTGATGGGATGTTTGTGTTGGATGTACACCTGTATCACTTTTTTCCCCAGTACTTCACGTATTCTGTTGCAGCCTTGCTTGTGCGTTTAGAGTTTTCCTTTTCTTAAGAAGATCAAAGGGTCACAAAAAGTAGATTTATATAATTTTTGTTTTAGCGGCCAGATGTCTAAATTTTATTCAAGCTCAAGTTCGCGCTCTGGTGAATAAACAGATGTATAAATCAGGAGGCGAGCTGGTTGACACAAGCATTGCCAGCAATATTATGTTACTAAGTTTTAAGTGTCCCTGGAACTTTTAGCATACAAATTTTCATAAAGCTAAAGACACGTCCTCTATCAAAGTATTACGCCCCAAGCTATTTGAAATGCTTCATCACTACTCCCAAGAGAGAGCGGCATTCGCAAATGTTTAGAATTAAAACCGTAGTTTCCCGCGTGTACAGGGAATTACCCAGAAAAAAACAGCGTGTTTCACGGTTCGCGCAAATAAACAACTTACCACAGAAAGCTGATTGGGTTGTGTGTATGTGTGTATGTTTATAGAGCCGAAAACTTGGTCTGCCTCAACGGCCGACGAGTCTCCCAGCTGTAGATGAGACATTTAGCCTCTGCAGTACAACAGCTAACCTGGGGTCTTTAACGTGCATCGCGCAGTAGTGATACAGTGTACTAGAATACTTGGGTAGTGTTGGGACCGAAGGGGCTCGCCTGAAGCGCGTGGTATTGATCGCGACAGGTGTCGCGTCCGGCGCCTTATCCAGAAGGTGTGCGCATGCGCGGCTGCACGCGCGAAAATATGAATCTTTGGTGCCGCTTTGGTGGAGTGCACGTAGGATTTCTGATACAGCTACGACCTGCCAGTGGTCGTACCGCGGCATCAATTACGCTGCGGCACGATCGTTAGCAACATAATGCTTCAATGTATTGGACGGTACAAGCTACATTACCCTTCCTTTACATAAAAACAATTGCGACTTTAAAGAAGCGGTTTCGGTTTGTCGGATGGTGAGCATTTTAAATGAAATGCCCATTTCCTTGGTCGCAAATGCGGAACATTAGATATTTGAAAGGAATATATAAACTCGGAAGCGGTTTTTCTTTTTCCTATCTTATTTTATAACGGAACGAAACGGCGCATACTAAAGTTCGAGATTCTTTTAGTATGTTTTTAATACCCCAGGTTAACTTCTCTGTCTTCTTTTCTGCCCGTCTTCTTTTTCTTGACCTTAATCAGCTCGCTTCACTTGTCACTCATTCTTGTGTCCATTTATGCGACGAACCACCCAAGCGACGGTCGCAAAGGGGTGAGAATCTTCTATTTCTTCGTGGCTGCCACGACCATCCGAGAATCACCCGACGTTCACTTGTAAGAAATGGCTTATAAGCCGTGTCAATTTTTATCACGCGTTTTAACATTTAACTTAAGTCCAAAAACTGAGACAATGTGGGCTGAACAAGTAATGCTTTATAAGATTCAAAGAAAACAAGAAACTATTTCACATCATTTTGAGCAGAAAACATGAGCACACGTAGATTAGGCAAGGAAAAAGTTGTAATAGTTTACAGCACGGCATTGAAATAATGGCTACAATGTGCAGCGCATACATGGTTACAATATGCAGCGCATTATCCTCTTGAGAGTAAACCATCTGAAACCTACACGCTCAGAACAATACATTTAACCGAGAGCTGCTTTCTGACAACCAGGTTAGTCTCGCCTGAGCTGGATATTCGAAGGGAAACACCCATGGTTCCACAGGGGGCGTATCTGGTTCACGCAGACATTCAGGGTGCGTTTGTTTTATTCTTTACAGAACTTTACATATTTTACAAAGAAAGGATGTGGCAGATATGTTATATCTGTATACGTTATATCTGTATGGTTCGGTGGACAATGAATGGGTGAATAACCGTTGCAATGTTTAATAATGAACCAAGATATGTTAGTTAACTTGTTTATTAACGGCTTAATCGACCATGGTGCAATTGCAGCTTTAAAAGGAGTCATTATTAAAGGCAAATACAATTTCGACAATTCGCGAAAAGGCAACGAGGTTCGCAAAATTAGTCGTAAAAGTTTGCCTTTCTTCGCTTGATTCAGAAACCGCGTTATGAAAATAATACGTAGAATAGTAACTTAGTCGTCTTGATGTGTGGCGCCGGCGAGTCCACCGAAGAAACGCTGTCGAGTTAGTGACGAGGGGACAGAAACAACCTGCGTCATTCTTCTACGCATCAATATCAGCACAACCTCATTTGCGCTTTCAGCGCGCAGTTTTTTTAATTAAGTGAAGAAAGGCAAAATTTTAGCGATGAATATCTCAGGACAGAACGAGCGGGTTGGTAGAGATAATTAAGCTTGAGGAAGAAACGAAAATGGACGGACGAACACAACAAAAACGAACGCCTTGTTACTTTCGCTCAAAGCTCGTTGTTTCTTCGCGAACTTTTTAAATTAAGTTGGATTTTAATGATGACTCGCTTCAAAGCTGCAATTGCAACATGGCCCAGCGAACATTTCATTAACCCTTTGCCTACCGCAAAAATTAAAAAAAAAAAAGATTTGAAAATACCGATTTTTTTTTACGTGCCCTATACTCTGTTTCACCTTGTGTTGTACCGCAGGAAAGGCTACAAGCGCGAGCTCCTTGCTCTAGGGCGCATCTCGGCGGCACGAGCTCCCGTGCACCAAGGGCAGCTGCCAACGCTATGAGCTCGCGCTCCTAGCTTTCGCTACATGCACCGCTCAAAGAGAAAAAAGAAAAAAAGAAAAAAAAAAGGCGGGCTGCGCGAGCCGGATAACTCGACTACAGCGCCGCCACGAACTGTCAATACACGCGTCCTCACGAGCTCCCGCTGCCGAGCCGCTCCGGTCCCAACACTACCCAAGTATTCTAGTACACTGTAGTAGTGATACACGAACGCGTGCCCGTACGATGCTCATCCAGATTGAAACGGGTACACTCTAAAAAATGCCCGTGCGTCCACTTTCCTGCACGACACTCAGAGAGCCAATCACGACACCTTACGAAGGCAGCTCGGCGAATGACGATGGCGAAACATATGTTTAGACCAAAAAACGCAGTCTGAGTTGTGACATTAAGCAATGCAAGCGTGACGTTTTGCATTGCTTAATGTCACAACTCAGACTGTGTTTTTTGGTCTAAACATATGTTTCGCCATCGTCATTCGCCGAGCTGCCTTCGTAAGTTGCTGTGATTGGCTCTCCGAATGTTGTGCAGGAAAGTGGACACACGGACTTTTTTTAGAGTGTAGGGGCGAGGATTGAGCCCAGGATCGTGGGTTCTGCAGCGCGAGCTTTTGCTCCACGTGCTCACAGCTTGTGTGCGCTATCCCACTCGGCCACCGATCCTCATCAGAGAGAAAGCTGAGACTTCATGAGAATGCGAGACTAACGGTGGAGATAGAATGAGAAAGTTTTTGAACAGGACGTTACCTAAATAAAGCAGTAAGATAAACATATATTTTTATGATCCCTTGTCTATTTATATGCCTAATATCGTCAAAACAAAAATAGCGTGCAGCATTTATTTCAAGGATAAAAGCTTAGAAGGAAGAGAGATAACAAAGTTGTATTTTTTGCTGCCAAGTGTTTTTTCACTGATAGAAATGCCACATG